AAGACTGAAGAAATTTCATCTGGGTTTTTAGTAAAAATAAGGCTCATGATCTTGCAATTGATGAAAATCTGTTCCTTGTCCCCAGAAACCTCTATTCAATGAGTAAGGCGAAGAGATTCTGCTCTTAACGTAGTACTGAACAAAACAGAGCACTGGAGAAATTAACATACATTTTGTGAGGTGAGGTGCTCAATGATTTGGGATGTTTTATCTAGTTCATGGACCAACAAGCTCAGTGTTTTGAGACAGTGTTTCATATGTCTCAGGCTGGCCTCTCCAAATATATGTATACATATACTTGCACACGCACACATATCTTGATATATAGCTGTCTTAGTTAGGGTTTTATTGCTGTGAAGAGACACCATGTCCACAGAAACTCTTATAAAGGAAGGGTGGCTGGCTTACATTTTGGAGATTCAGTCCATCATCATCATGGTGGGGAGCATGGTGGCATGCAGGCAGAAGTGGTGCTGGAGTAGCTGACAGTCTACTTCTTACAGGCAACAAGAAGTTGACTGACACACTGGACAGTATCCTGTGCATAGGAAACCTCAAAGCTTGCCCCACAGTGACACACTCCCTCCAAAAAGGCCATACCCACTCCAATAAAGCTGCACCTCCCAATAGTGCCACTCCCTATGAGATTATGGGGGCCAATTACATTCAAACTACTACGGCAGCCAATGAGGATCTTGAATTCTTGATCCTCCTGCTTCCATGTTCAGATGTGTGCCACTACATTCAGTTTTCCAGAGTGTTTTGAGACATGTTAAAGCAGACAGAGAAAGCCGATGCTCTGAAACTGGCTGTCCTAGCGGGGAAAAGAGGAGAAGGATTTCGGTAACCCCCTGGACAAGCTGGCAGGGGAGGAACAATCCATCTGCATAAGCGTTACTCATTACTTTCTGTAAATGTAGCTATTACTATTCCATTATTGGTTGAACAACTGGATAGGATTGCTTTACAAAAAGCATACATTCAAGGAAGAGATGTGGAGAATTAATTCACAGTAAAATAATGCACCCCAGGAAACAGGTCTGTGGACACCTTAGGGAAGGAAGCTCAAAGGACAGGAAATACACAGAAAGTGAACAGTGAGGCTTCCTGAAGGCATAAAGCATGTAGTGACATAAATTTGGACGATCCTGGGTCCCAACTCTGGTTTTGACACTTTCCACTTATGGTTCGTGGAGCTAAAAGTCCCTCCGACCTTCAAAGTTTTTGTCCATAAAATGGGGATATTAGTAGACGCCTGCTTTACTCAAATCCATGGTTTTTGTGAAGATTGTGTCACTATACGAAAGTTTCTTTAAATTGTAAAGCAGCGTGTTAGCAAAAGTCATGATGCGATTTTTATGAAGCTGTGAGAGGAAGTGAGTGCTCAGAAGGATGGGAAAGAGGAGAGAAGAAAGGTGGGGAGAAGAGGGAAAGAGGAGAGAGAAGAGAAGGAGGGAACTGTTTTGCTGATTTGCTTATTTATGGGTGTCACTATGATATCCTTATACCTATGGGTCACTGTATTGTCTTTGCATGTGTTCACTTCAACTGCCCCCCGCCCCCCAAACCAAATCCCCTCAGCTGGATCTTTCTTTCTGGAGATATCCCACCCCCCCGTCTTCTTTCTTATTACATTGCCCTCTGAGAAAGAACATGGTAAAGGACTGCCTACAGGATGCGGGGAAGGAGAAACGAATCGGCGACAAAGGCTCAGAATGAAGAGAAGTGGCGGCGTCCCAGAAGCCAAAAGAAGAACTATTACAGCAGCCTGGGCACAAGTGATGGGATGGCAGGCTCAGGAAGTGCTTACTATTTAGTATAAGGATGAACTGAGAGTGTTTTAGAGACAGGGCAGTGTTCAGTACGTCTGAGAGAGGAATAACACGGCCACAGCAAAAACCAACAATAACAAGTGTTGGCAAGGAACTGGAGAATTTGGACTCTTACTGTATTGATAATAGATAGGAATGTGAGATTGCAACACCTGGAGAAGACTCTTCAACAGTTCTTCAGATTGGTCTAGACATAGACCCATATGACTCAGAAATCCCACTCCTTCATATACTCAAGAGAAATGACATGACAACACACAAAAAATGTGCACATGCATGTATATAGCAGCATTATTCATAAGCCAAAGTGACAACAACCCAACTTCCTATCACCACGTGTTGTATGTAGAGAATGGGATTTTATTCATCTATAAAGAGGAAAGGAGTATTGACACATGCAATACCGTGGAGTAAGTCTGAAGATACTATGTTGAATAAGAGAAACCTGAGGCGGGTTGGAGACATGCCTCAGTGGTGAAGCGTGTTTGCTGTTCTTCCAGGGGACCTGAGTTCATTTCCCATCAACCATAAAAGTTCAAAACTTCCTGAAACTGCAGCTCCAGGGAATTTGATACCTTCTTTGGGATTCTGCAGGCACATATATTATACATGCACATGCTATCCCCACGTGTACACAATTTTTTTTTTAAAAAATGAACACTGTTAGAAAGAAAAGGGTCATTTCTGGTATGAGTTTCTATGTAGAGAAAGTAGATCAGCGATTGTGTAGGGTAGGGTGGTATGGCTGGAAACCAGTGAGTTCTAATGTAGACAAGGAGGATGGAATTAGTGAGGATGTTTGCCTAACTTGGTGGTTATACTAAAAAGCGCTATTGTACAGTTCAAAGGGTGCACTTTATGGTACATGTATTATACCATAATAAGACTTAAAAAGAGGAGAGGTAAGAGAAGTTGAGATCCACAGCATAATTAGAAAGGTTGGCATTGGCAGAATACCAACTTCAAAGGCACAGTAAAGTTTGGGGTGGGGTAAATTCACAAAAGATCATTAATAGAGCAGTAAACCCATATGCACTTGCTGTGGGGCAGGTACTTTCCATTTATTTTGTATGTTTTTAATGGTCAGAACAACGCTGTAAGGTAGGTGCTATTTGTATTCCAATTCTCAAAAGGGAAGGAGGTTAAGAAATGTGTTTACAGTGACAATAGGTGGGATGTCAGAGCGGCCAAGGAGACCAGCTCTGCCTGCAGTAGCCAGGATGGCCCAACATTTTCCCCTTCGGGACCGCCACTCAGGAAAAGCCAAATCCTTGATTATTTGGCAGAAAAGAATTTGAAGACTAACCAAAGTGAAACAAGTTAGTGAGTTTAAGAATTTAGACAGAGAATCATATAGGACAAGGACAGTATATAATCCCAAGACAAGGACACAGGCTTCTCAAGAGAGTTGCATCGATCCTCACAATGACTGCATATAATCCTGCCCTTGGGCTTACATTCCCTAAAGGGTATAGTTTACATGCTTTAATGATTAAACAAAGCTTAAAATTTAGGGGAAGTTAAAAAATTGAATAAAAATGTTTCGTTTATTTTTCTCAAGAGTTGCTCTTTTGTGAATGATGCTGTCAGGTGCCTTTGTGACGTATGAGATCGGGAAGCTTATACGGCCAAAGTCAAGGTGGCAGCCACTCTAGCCCTGAGGAAGCATAGTGCACTCATCGTTTTACATTCTTGTTTGGTCCATCCTTAGAAAGCCTCTCAGTATCTCTGTAGGCCATTCTGACTCTGTCTTCGGGTTGTCTCTTCACTTAGCACGAAAGGCAAACTAGATCTCAGGGTAAGGGGCCTCTCTCCCTGCTCATGTCCCCTTAATCTCTCCTGTCTTTTTATCCTGCCCCCGCCCCAGAGCCTAACGTTTAATAACGGTATTGTATTACATCCCTTGTATCTCTGTTCTCAGTGAAATGGGGGAAGGCTGAGAGCATATTTAGGACTTAGAAACAAAAAGGTTATGAAAATTTTTTCTTGGAAGAAAGTAGGATTTCAACAAGTGAATTTAAGTTTTTATCAGAACCTACTAACAATATATAGTGGGTTTCATTATATTTTAATACATGTATATATTTTAATATTTATTTTTGAAATTAAAATATAATTACACTATTTCCTCAACTCCTTTCATGTTTCCCCTTGCTCTCTCTCAAATTCATGGCCTTTTCCCCCAAAATATACTAATACCACCTGCTCAGTCAGTTTAACGTTATTTTTATGTATATGACTTCAGGGCCGACCACTTGGATTTTGATCATATTTACCTCCCAAGACCTTCTTTGTCTTGTGCCCCTCCCACCCCTGCTGATTTCTTTAACTCATCCCTCTTCCACTTTCATGGTTTTTCCCCCTCCCTTTTTGGTGACCTGGTGAGTTTAATTAGGGCTGCTTCGAGCATTACAAGTTCCCAGTGGCTATAGGACTGAAGAAAATGTTGAAAACAACTCTTTCCCTCAGCAACCATTACTACCAATAGCTCCTCAGAGAGTAGGGGGGGGCATGTGAACCCCAGCAAAGGACAGAACAATGGTGGACTCAGTCATGCCCAGGTAGATGTCTGTCAGACAACTGAATTTTGGTTCGACATTGTTGGGAGTAACAGAGCTGTTCTCCACTCTCACTACTGTCATCGGCTTCCGTGCACCCAGGTAATTACTATTGCTCTATTCCTACAGGTCTGTAGTGGGGGTTTTCTTATGTGGCCCTCGGACTTTGGCGAAGAGCCTGCGCAGATGCTGCCAGCGATACTCAAGTCTGGATCCTAGGAAGGTTCAATTCTACTTCAACAAAGAAACGTTCTGAATTGTAGAAAGTGGCACAGGAGTCCACACTTCCCTTTTCACCTCACAACCTGTGGGTCAGCTACTAGGTAATACTGTCCCTCACGAGGACTTCACTCTCCACTTTTAAAAACATTTGCACTCAACTTCATCATACCTGAGCTTTGCCAACCCAAGAGCTGCAAAAATCACAGTAATTGCAAAGCATATAAACTGTTCTTTGTGGGGATGATTGTAAATCCTGGAAACCTGACTTCAGCCGAGGTTTGCCGGTTGACACGTACACAATTTAACCTCTGGTGTCTTGGTTGATTCCTGCACTTTGGTTCACAATCTCCCCTCCCACTTGTCCCTCACAGAAGATTTCTAAGTAGTGTGAATTTTAAAATATTTATTGAATCCAAGATAAAACAATAATCATAAATAAACAACATAAAATTACCAAGATTCCCACTCCCATATCATACTCACTAGGTACATTGTTAAACATGATCTTATCCAGTGTGACCAACAGTTTACATTTCTTTCTTTTGTCAAAAAAACTGAAAGGTTTTCATCTTTGCTTATTGAACAATTTTGCTTAATTTCCCTAGGTTTTCCATCTGAAGTATATTAACTGTAATCAAATTTGCATTATAATCAGAAGCCACCTATACTGCCATTTTGCATTGTTTGAAATAACTATGAAGGCCGAGCCTATATCATAGGATAACTTAATTTAACAGAAGCTCTCCATTATTTTTATTACAGGGGTTTGTTTATGAATGTCTGGTATAAAAAAAATAAAGAATTTATAATTTTGACTACTTTCCAGGTGTTACTTACTGAGGAATCATTCACTGAATGTCATTTTTTTTTCCTATAAAAATGTTTATTTTTCCTATCAACCAGGACAATAACCACACTGATTCTGGGATGTTAGTCATGGTGAATCATAAGAAAAAGAAGCCCCAGGCTCCTCACAGGGAGAAAAATGCCACACTTCAGTGTGCTCAGACTGTTGAACTCACAGATTTGGCAGACTGAATCTAGACCACCTATTTTCTACCATTAATTGACCAAGAGAGAACAAGTTTACATTTCCAATTATCTAGGAACCTATAGCTTGAAGGATTAGCAGGATCATTTTTCAGTCACTAGTCTGAACATAATAAACACAGGTCATGAATTTGGGGTACCTAATTGTACTATTAGACCAGTAAAAACACTGGTGAGTGCTTCCAGAGGGATAAATTGGGGTGCCACTGCTCTTGTCAATTTATTCACCTCAATGTCTGCTAACCACATTAAGTTTAATGAGGCTTTGGGAAAATGCACACTAGGATTTCCAGGAGATGGTTTCTATTAGACAACTGCTTACCAAATAACTTCAGCCTCAGGAATCTTGATTGGGAATTGGTTGTGTAAAACCCAAGTTCCTAACTAGAAATATTTTCCTCAAGATCTCTGTGTCTAAATATATTGGTGCTTTAAAATCCTGACAGCTGCTCGAATCATCACATCACTGATTATTTATGCAGGAGGCAGAGAAGGTAATGGAAACAATGAACTGCATGCATAATTAACATTGTAGTTGAACTTGGGATAAGTGGACTAGACAGGGAGTGCTTGCTGGTTTGCACTTTTCTTGATAGGTTATACTATGACATACCAGCAAATTTTCATTGTAAATATATGGAAACATCCCTCAATTTTAATATTTTTGCATTTTTTGGTTTGGCATGTAAGCAATGTTATTATGCTTCACATTCCTAGTAATGATTTTAATTCACCTGCCCATAATCCTAACACAGAGGGTAGGGTTCTGAGAATATAAATAAGCTCACAATTAGTTCTAGTAAATAAACTTTACTAATTATTAAGGCAACTCTTCAAAGGTCTTGAGGTTGACCAGGTGGAAAGCAGCCATGCTCCTCCTTAATGCCACCATGGGAGAACAAAAGGCAAGGAGACCTGCAGGTTAGCACAGGCTGATGGCACGAATTCTCTTCCAAGTAGGTAGTACTTGGAAAAAAGCAGGCAACCCTAACAGACAATCTGCCTTCCTGTGCTCTATACTTGGTCCTCTTAAAAGACTTGAAAATGTCAAAGTTTTAGGGTTTTCTGTTTTAAGTTCTTGGAATAAATTTAGTTAGAGGACAGGGCCGAAGGCTTTGCGATTTTTTGAAAGATGGGATAAAACGTATTTTGTTCACTTGATTTTCCTTATTAAATTTGAACATGTGGAAAACCAGTGGCTTTGTAAACTTGTAAAGTTGGCTACCTAGACAGAAGAGCTTTACAACAGTCTCTCAGGTTGTTAACACACACTCAAACCAGTGTCAAAACAACCTTTGTCTTAACTCTGAACTTCGAATGTTCAGACCTGCTACTGACCAAACAACACATTTTGGTAATTGGATTGTCCCAAACCAAATGCATTTCTGTGGTATGCTCTTTGCCTGTTTGCCTTCTGGCCATTTTATAGTTTTAAACACTTGCTTTTTTCTCCCAGAAAACTCAGAGACTCTAGAAAGTTTTCAAAGGGCTGAAAGCAAACTCAACAAAAAACAAAGTTCCTGAAAACATTGCTTCCGAGAAATACTCACATATCATTAAGAAGAATAAATGTTTAGGCTAAGGTAAGAACAGAGCTATGGCAACAGGAGATTAAAGGACAATGTGCAGTAAGGGTAGAAAACATATCTAAGCTTTTGCCTTGGTGTTTAGCTTCTTAAAAGCAAAAGGGTTATGTATATCAATTTGCAGTATGTGAAAATTGTGTTCAAAGTTTATTTAAACTTTTTTGTCACAAAAAATATACAAACTAAGACAACAAAATGAACTGCTTTCATTTGGAGAAATGGTGATGTGAGTCCTCCACCTGGCAGCAATGTGAGTCATCGGGGATTAGGATGCAGAATTCACCATGTTTTCAACATTTCAACAATGTTATGGAATTATATTTCCAGATTTGTTGCCAGGTGTTTTTGAGAACCTGTAAGAAAAAGTTCAGAGAAAGCCATTACAAGTAGACTTCTCTTTCCTAAACACCAGGAAAAAACAATTACCCCCATAAAAAAGGCAAACAAAAATGGACTGAGGGAAGATTTTGAGAACCTGTAAGAAAAAGTTCGGAGAAAGCCATTACAAGTAGACTTCTTTTTCCTAAACACCAGGAAAAAACAATTACCCCCATAAAAAAGGCAAACAAAAATGGACTGAGGGAAGAGGAGATGTGCTAAAGATCAAACAGCCAGTATGTGCCTCATGTCCTGTCTCCTCACTGTCCTTTGTAGCAGGGTTTCTCAGCCTGGACATTACATGGATATTTTCAGAAGTGAGGAAGATGGTCTGTGCATCACTGTGTGATGTTCAGGAGCATCTCTGATATCTACCCATTGAATGACAGTGGCATACTAATTTAATAAATATTAAATAAATATTAGTATTTCTAATAGTTGTGACGACATATATATACCATAGGCAGGCAAGCCTCCCCTACTCCAAAACTCCTTCCTTTCTCTTTCTCATATGTGTATATACGTACATGAGTGCAGAAGCAAGAAGTCCAAGTCACCTCAAGTGTTAATCCTTAGGATGGCCATCCACCTGGGTTTTAGAGACTGGGTGTCTCACTGGGACCTGGGGCTCACTGATTAGGTTAGGCTGGCTAGTCAGGAGGTCCCAAGGATCTTCCTGTCTTCACCTCCCCATCTAAGATTACCAGAGAGTGCCACTGCATCCAATTTTCATGTGGGTTCTGGGGTTTGAACCTGGGTACTCATGTTTGTGTAACAAGCACTTTAGGAACTGAGCTATCTCTCCAGTTCAATAGTGATAAGCAACACTGTCTGTGATGGGAGAAAGGAACCCAAACTGTAAGTTTAGGATGAAAAAAAAAGCCAATGCTTCAGCTACAATATGCATAAATACCAGTAGAGAGTTTACTCACAAAAAATTACAGTTTGTGACTGAGTTGTAAAAACTGAATATAGTTTGTAGTCTAGTTCACAGTAATATACTGAGGCCTGGCCTTGAACTACAAAGCAAAAATATAAGATGCTATCATGAGGTCCTTTGTATTATTTCTCCAACTTCCTATGAAACTATGATTGCTTCAAAAGGTTAAAATAAAAATCCTGTAAAATCTTGCCCTGAGGTCAATATGCAAGGCAAATGAGATAATTTAAGAATACACAATGAAAGAACTTTCAGTAATACTTGTATCTTCACACTCCTAAAACCAGTAATTTTTTAAAACTGCAGAGAATGCCTTTTCTGTCATAATATTTAAAAGTAAATGCCTATGAATATAGTCCATATTTTTAATGAAGAAAATAAAATGCTTGGGATATATGGAAGAAAGGTAAAGTAGGATATACTAAGAGTCTAGTTATCCAATTACCTATGATCACTTCCAGTTATAGTAGTCATTTAAATTATCAGTAGATACAATGCATATTTGCAGTCTGGAAGCCTTGAAATCACTACAAATACAGACTACAGTACAGTTAGTTAAGACTGCTAATTATCATGAGTTCACTGTTACATGGTAACATGTGCATGGGAATTATAAGATACACAGGGTTAAAAAGTAAAAATTCCAAAGAAGACATTCTAACAGGTATTAGAACAATATGAAATTTAAATTGCTTTCAGAGAACAGAATTGTTTATGAAATACAAAGAGGGAAAATACTTTTGAAAATAAAACAATATTTATATAAGCAAGTTTGGCCACACGATTATTTGAGGCAAGTTGGATCCTTCTTGCCTAACAGATGAGCAAGAAAAATAATGGTACTATCAGCCATCTTTCAAATGTAAAGAAACAGATGTTGACAGGGCCATTTACTACTTTAAATGGCTTGTAATAGTGAACCATCAAAATATTCATTACAAGGGCTGGGATATAGCTCAGCTGGGATAGAGCATTCCTCGAATGCCTGAATCCCAGATTTGCTCTCCAGTACCTCAAAAGCAGAGTATGGGGCTGCATGCCTGTCATCTTAGCACTTGGAAAGTGGAAGCAGGAGGATCAGAAGTTCAAGGTCATCATCAGCTACATAGTGAATTCAAGGCTAGTCTGGGCTATATGAGACCCAAACACACACAGACACACACACATTACAAAACAAAAAACTAGAAGCCTAAAGAGTAATATGTTATTGAAATACTCTGTATTTCCTCCATTTTGAAGGAATGGTTTGGAATAAAACAACTAATCATGGAATGATCCACAGCAAACTTTGATAGGTTCTGTTGCGGGAATGAGATTCAGGGAGCAGGGTCTTTCACCTTTACCTACCTCCCTTCCTTTCTATCGCTTACGTTTATTTATTATGGGCTCACACTGCTACTGTGTGTGTAGAGGTCAGAGGATACATTGAGGAGAGTTGGTTTTCTTTTCTACCATGTGATTTTGTGGATCAAACTCAGTTTATCAGAATTGGCAGCAAGTACCTTTACCTGACAAGCCATCTTACTGGCCCTACCTTTAACTTTCTATATTCCTATGCCTTATTAATTTTGGGAAACTGACACTATATTAATTTCATCATTAGAAAAGGCTGAAAATAATTCAACAACTGAACAAATATTCTACAGCCTTATCTGATTCCCAGAGATGCTGACTACGGAAGGGTAGACAAAGCCTAGTGAAGACTGGGGGCCTCAGAGAACATTACGTTGTTAAAGGTTGAAGTTGTGTACTTCAAATATAGAAGGACCTAGTTCTGCCCAGGGACCATTCAGTCAGCTCACCTTTCAAGGTGCCCCAGTGGATTTCTGTATCTGTTCCTTTAAGATTAGGATACTCTGCCTTTGTTCAGGAGGCAGCATGGCAATCTGGTCTGCAGTGAGTTGAAGGACCTGCATAATCAAAGCAGCCTGCACAGAGGAAAGGAAGACTGTGAGTTTCAATGATGAGTCAGAAAACCAAATAAAACGAAAATACCACCAGCTTCTGTCCAAAAGCTACTGGCATGGGAAAAGGGAGGATCTCTCTCTCTCTCTCTCTCTCTCTCTCTCTCTCTCTCTCTCTCTCTCTCTCTCTCACACACACACACACACACACACACACACACACACACACACACACACACACACACACAAACTGCAAGCTGGAAAGAAAAAAAGAAAATGGTGAATAAAGGCACAATGAAGCGCACGAATAAAGGAAAATACCTAAGATTAGCTGATGTAGAGAGATGCCTCAGGAACTCAAAGTTCCTGCATACTAAGATGGCATCTGTGAGCCCTGGGAACTCTTAAGTTTTTAGTCCTGTTTTGAGTTTCCCCTCACAAGTTTAAGTCTTCCTATCAGACACAAGCTCCCAACAATAGCCAAGTATAACAACAGAAAGATATACCTGTGGTGAATATGCTATTGTTTTTTTTTTAAGTATTGGTAGAAAGGGGAGGCAGAAAGGAGCTTTGGATTTTTAGGTCAGTTTGGCTTTCACAGGAAAAAAATGACATTTATAGATGAATATGAAATGTAAAATCATATTCACTTAAAAACTTTAGAATCAGGTCCCCAAAATGCTCAGTCAAGATCATTGGAGAGTTCTAAGTTAGAGTAAACATCACTTTCAAAAGGACTTTGAAGACCCAGGATCTTCATTGGAAGTGAAAAGATAAAAAAGACTACATTTGTGCACAGGGAGGCAGTCAGACTGTTGCTTACCTTCTCATGATCCTGGGGTGTGACTTGGCTCTGTCCAGGACTAAAGCCACCAGGCTGGCTTCCACCTTGCATGGTCGCTCCTTGCATGGTCGCTCCTTGCATGGCTGCTCCCTGCATGACTGGGACCTATGGGTATAAAGAAAGGAGACAGCATATAGAATTCCTGATGTCCATGGAACCTCAATATAGTACCAATCTTGACTAGATAAGAGTGAAAAGAGATTAATGATCTAAAGATCAGCTTATACTGTTAGCAAAAGCAGAAGGCAGTGTTTGGCCAAAGATCCACTAACATACACATCTTTGCCCATCATCACTAACAAATAATACACAGTGCAGGAAGGGGACATCAAATTAGCAAAATTTAGCCAAATATGCATAGGGAAAACTAGGAGCACTGGAGAAATCAATGCTCAGAGTAAACACAAGTAAAGCCAATTGACTTTACACAACTGTATATTGCTCTGCTGGGGAAGCGATGTTCACACGACTACTGCCAACCTCTAGTTCAAGTATACATTGGTAGTTATTCTCAAAGGGCTCTATCCCACAAAACAGACGGTCAGTTTTAGAGAGACAGAAAGGAGATAGGAAGGTCTCTGGGGAAAAGAAGGTATTAGCCCAACATTTGCTTTTTAGAGATTTCTTAAAACAAAAACAAAAACTCGCAATATCCCTTTTAGTGCTCAGATAACCAATGGTGGTGTGCATTTTTTAAAGCTTCTTTTCATTTTATGTGTGAGTTTTTTGCCTGCATGCATGTATATCTGTGCACCACATGCATGCCTAGTGCCCATGGAGGCCAGAAGAGAGTGCTGAATCCTCTGAACTGGAGTTACAGATGGTTATGATCCACAACATGGGCGCTGAGAACCAAACCCAGGTCCTATACAATAACAAGTGCTCTTAACCACTCAACTACCTCTCCAGCCCTTGTTTTTTTAGAGCTTTCTATAGAGTACATTACAATTGCTTCCTGTTTAATACAGACCAAGAAATATTACTCAAGTTAGAACAAAATGCAGTTAGAGCATATTTATTGGTATTAAGAATGTTTAGTGGGTCCAATCCTTTGGAAGACAACCAGAACCCAAGGAAAATGCCTCTATACACCTACTATAACTAACTAGATGTACTCTATACCTGTGTGATGCTCACACTCAGGCTCTTACCTAGAGTTTAGATACTTTTATTGCAAACAAATCTTTAAGAAGCTTGTTACCTGCTTTCCCAGATCACAACCAGGGAAGTATAGAGAAACACCTGTCAGGAACAGATGATGTGGCTAACAATGTGAAGGAGGAGGTGACAGTCCATCAGGAAAGGGAACAGATACCCCACAGGCCAAAACTATGTTTTATATTATAACATAAATAATAATGGATCTATTTTCATGTTAATTTTGAGGAATCAAAAATGATTTAAGTATTTTTTGCATTTTACTTAAGAAAACAGGAAGCATATTTCACTAAAATAGTTTGAACAACTTTTAGAATAGTTCTTTCACCTGGTGTGCTGGCTTGAATAAGAACAGCCCCCATAGGCTCATAAATTTGAATGCTTATTTACCATGGAGTGGCACTATTTCAAAGGATTAGGAGGTATAGCATGTTGGAAGTAGTACATCACTGGGGGTAAGGAGTTTTGAGGTTTCAAAATCTCATGCCAACCCAGTATCTCCCTCTGCCTGTGGATCAGGATGTAGCTCTCATCTACTTCCCCAGCACCATGTATACCAAGCATGCCATGCCTGCTGCCATGCTTCCCACCATGATGATGATGGGACTAAACCTCTCAAACTGTAAGCAAGCCATCAATTAAATGCTAAGAGCTGTTGTGGTCATGGCGTCTCGTCACAGCAACAAAACAGTGACTATAACATAAATTGGTACCAGGGAGTGGGCTATTGCTGTGACAGGCCTGATCATGCTGCTTGTTGGCAGAATATGGAAGAGTCTGAACTACAAAAGTGGCTGGATGCTTTAAATAGGGCTTAATGGGCCATCTTAAGAGGAGTATTGAAAATAGTGCTGAGGGTGATTTGAACTGTGGAGGCCTGGCTCAAGAAGTTTCAGAGGGGAAGAACAATTAGTAAGTGGCCTAAGGACCATTCTTGTAACATTTTGGCAAAGAATGCAGCTGCTTTTGCCTGAGTGTTAAAAATCTGCCTGAGGCTACATTGAACAGTTTTGGATTAATGGCACTAGCAGAGATTTTAAGATTGCCAAATATTGACTGTGTCATGTGACTGTTAGTGGCCACTCTTATGCAGATATATATATATAATGAAAAGGAGTAAGCTGAGAAAGGAAAAAATATAATGTACAGTTTGAGGAGAAAAGAAGTACACTGGAGCAGAAAGTGTAATGGAGCTAATCTCAATGCTCAAGGAGATAAAAAATTTAAAGAAAAGCCTGATGCTAAATGGAATAAAGGGAGTGGTGACCTCAGGGCAAGAACCTACCCAGCTAATCTTCAATTTGTGAAAAAGAATTAAGGAAAAGCTTAAGCAGTAAAGGAAACAATCAACAACAAAAAGCTGATGCAAATGTACATGAACAAGGAGGTCTAATTGCAGCCCCATCAAGCAGCAGAACTTGGCAGCTTTGGCCACAAGTCAATGATACAAAAAAGGGGTTATAGAATCTCCCTCTGAGGCTAAGGAAAGCTGCTGAGGCCAGGCATGTTCAAGGGTGTCCTTGTATGGAGGCACAGAGAGGCCATTATGTGAAATTGTGAAGGGAAGCCTGGATTTCATTGGAGACTCCAAGATGTTGAAGATGTCAGAGTCGTGGGATATCTGCCAAGAAAAGCTGCAGATTGGGTGTGGATCCAGCCCAAGAGAGAAGTGTGCTGCAGTCAACACGGCGGAAAGGAGTTGGAAGATCTTATGATGTCTTTGGCATCAGACATGGAGATTCAGAGTTTGGAATTTGCCCAGTTGATTTTCAGTCTTGCTTTGGTCCAGTATTTCCTCACTATGCTCCCTTTCTTCCCTCTTGAAATGGTACTGTATATTCTGTGTCAGTGTATATTGGAGGTGAGTGATCGATCTTTTTATTTTTATTTTATGGGTTTACAAGTAAGAGATTGCCATGAGTCTCAGAAGAGATTTTGAATTTTTGAACAGTGTTGAGACTGTGATAGACTATGGGGATTTTTGAAGTTGGACTGAATGCATTTTTGTATTATGATATAGCTATGAGCCAATGGAAGCCAGGGAGTCAAATGTGGTGGTATGAGTAAAAATGCTCCCCACAGGCTTATATGGTTGAATGCTTATTTACCAAGGAGTGGCACTATTTCAAAGGATTAGGAAGTGTGGCCTTGTTGGAGGACGTGGGTCACTGGGGGGTGGGCTTTGAGGTTTCAAAAGTGCCAAGCCCAGTATCTCCCTTTTGGCCTATGGATGAGGATATAGCTCTCATCTACTTTTCCAGCACCACGTATGTCATGCCTGCTGCCATGCTTCCTATCATGGTAATAGAACTAAACCTCTGAAACTGGAAGCAAGCCCTCAATTAAATGCTTTCTTTTATAAGCATTGCCACTGTCATCTCATCATGTCTCTTCATAGCAACAGTAACTAAGACACCTGGAATACTCATTCACATGCATCAGCTCTTTTCTAAGACACTGGGCACATGAAGCAGTGGCACATAGAGGCACTTAGTCCATCCAGGGACTTGTGTCAACCTTAATGATATATTATGGATATGAACCACCTCTGGCTACACTCACTTAGGAATTTACTAATACTGATTAAATACCAATCTGAGACACTGTAGTATGAAATAACTACCCAAAACTTGCCAGGTGAAGTTTCCAGGAGTACCTGTACTAGGCAGATAGGTACTTGCAAGACTGGCCACATACCTTGGTTGGCCCAAGACAGTTCCAGTTTATGCTTTTGTCTCAGAGTAAATTAACAACACTTTCATTCTTGAATGTGTTCTTTGTACGACAAATTACATAACCACCCTAGTAACAAGCCTTTTAGCTACAATGCTTCTAACTGCATGGACTGGAGTTAAATTTAAAACCTGATTTAAAGTGATATATGAAGGCCATATGAAGTTAAAAAGACAAACATGAAAAAAGGATAACATTAGAAAGCTACACTAAAAATATCAGGTAAGCCAGATGTGGTGGTGCATGCCTTTAATTCCAGCACTCCCAAGACAGAGACAAGCAAATCTCGGTGAGTTCAAGGCCAGTCCAGTATATACAGAAAGTTCCAGGTCAACCAGGGCTACATGAAGACACCCTGTCTCAAAAAATAATCTAATAAAGGCAATTGTCTATCACAAGTGAGAAATATAGAAGAAAAAGTGAGGTTTCAAACACAACACTTTTATAGATGACTAGGATGTATTATTTATATATTTACTGAATTATATTGCTAAAAATGTAAAAAAGTATCAATTTGAAGTTCTTATTTTTTTCTACCTTGGATCTAATTGGCTTTACAGACTTTTAATAAAAACTATATTGGTCTGGGGATATAGCTCACTGGTAGATTATTTAGCATTTGTGAGGTTCTAGGTTGAATCTTAGCATCATAAAACCAAATTAAAAAAAAAACACAACAACAAAAACCCTAGCATTATAAAGTAATGAATTCAAGCACTAGCAGAGAAAAAGGAGCCAAGATATTAGCCATCATTTTCAATGTCTTTTTCCATGGAATCGTCGGGAGAATTACATAAGCACAGTGTGTAGTTACTTGGTATCTCTCTCCTCAGCTAGTATGCCAAGAATTTGCTGTTCACACTCCTATATCCCTAGTACTATGCTTGGTATTTAGTAGATGCTCAATAAATTAAGTATTGAAAGGATGTATAAAAAACACGTGTGCTATGAGACTACTGACCATAGAGGGTACAACAAGAATCAAAGCCTACAAACACATTTTTTTAAAGCAAAACTTGAAATATAACAGAAAATAATTTTTATTCTATATATACCAAGAAAAAAAGTCCTATTTTTATCTCAAATTGAAGAGGATCAGGCAAACAGAGACACACAGAGACACATACACACACACAAGTAAGACAGAGGAGTAGAATAGAAGAGCAAGCTGTATCCTTGCTCGGTCACTTTTTTAGTGAGGTGAATTTGATGAAGTCACCGGACTTTCCGGCCTTCAGCTTCCAAACCTATAAAATGAGAGCACTGGATGCTAGACATGCTGCATTCTAGTTTTGATATTTCTCTCTCTCTCCTCCTTTTCTTCTCCCAACCCCCAATACACTGGAAGATACAGAAACACATGAAAATGGGAAGAGAAATGGAAAAATGAAGGCATCAACATATAGAAACTTGGGAAGATACACACATTCTATCTCCCCACAAGCAACTGGAGATGATAAATGAGGTGACTACTACAAAGTATCCCATACACACAGCTGGAGTGAGCCAAGTGAAGGAGACAGAGACAGACTGCAGTTCCAGAACTGTATGCAGATTGCCTTTTCTATGCCACTGTTCATTTAGATGCTGTGATGACAATAAATCCACACAGGTCTCTGCCACCCTGAGATAATCGAAATGAACACAACTCCTCAAATGCTCTAGTTCAGGTTGCACACTATAATCATTTTTGAGGTTTTTCAAATGGTCTGAGATCTGTACAAATGTTTTTTTTGGAGGGGGGGGGGCTTTGAATGTGATGTTGGTTTCTATACCCAGTGCAGAGTACTCCTTGACCTATACATTTTCATTTTCAGAGATCTTCTGAATTATCAGAGACTAGAACACTCTTCTTCTAAGGGATATGAGAAAGTAAAAGGCGAGCCTAGTCTCTTCTTTTTAACAAGCAGATTCATTTAAGTCAGAAGACAATAAAAATCAGGCTCAGTAAGCAATTCTCAAATACATTAAGATTTTATGTAGATGCTACAAGTATTACCTGTCTTGTTCCCTGGGGAACGACAGCCCCCATGTTCATTGGATTGGGACCTTGGATTCCACTAGGCATAGGTCCTCTAGGTCCAGGTACTGGGCCTCTGGTATCCATGCCTCTGGCTTCCATGGCACGGGCTTCCATAGCACGGGCCTCCATGGCACGAGCTTCCATGGCACGGGCCTCCATGGCACGAGCTTCCATGGCACGGGCCTCCAGTCCTCTGGCATCCAGTCCTCTGGCCTCCATGGCTCTGGCCTCCAGCCCTCGTGCATCTAATCCTCGGGGATCTCTTCCACCTAGAAAGTTGTAAGAAAACCAGTGTGTAGCTACTAATTTGTAGTCACATCTCTCCTTACCTATGAGACTGTCTCCTTTCTAGTTTATTAGATTTGTAGGTAAATCGTAAAAAATCTTGCCAAGACTCCTGTCCCATATTAGAGCTGAAGAGAGCCAAGTCCTTCATCAACCCATGGCTACTAGTTGGAGTTGTAATGCTGTTTCCACCTTACCTCTAGCATCCATGGGTGGAACCCTCTGATCTAGCATGGGTCCTCTTGGCTCTGCCATTAAAGGTCTGGGCTCAGCTAATGGACCTCCCCTCATATCATGTGGGGGTGGTCCACGGCCTTCATGGCCAGGAACATGGTGCATGGGTGGGCCCTGATGAGGTGGTGGTGGTGGTCCCAGGTAAGCTCTAGAGATGAAGAAAAATGACATATTTTAAAGCAATAACAATCCTCATTTCTAAGGTTATATGGACTTATCTGTCTCTCTATCTTTGTGGGGCTGAGGATTGAAGGCAGGGCCTTGCGAATCTTAGGCAAGTGCTCTATCACTGGTGTTACACCCCCAGCCTAAGGTAGATTCAATGAGGTGATTCAAGTACTTAGAGAAAAGCCAGAGGTATGATCCCCACAATCAACAACTATTGCCATTAATAGTACCATTACCTCACGTTTTCCTTGCTTAGGTATATAGTACTAGAATTTTCAATTTCTGAAAATATGCTAGTCATAGTTGGCTCAAAGTTACCTTCTTAACTATACAATTATGCTTTAGGAGAAGTGCTTAGTCTTGGACAGTAGCTACAGATACTTATGTATCTTTTGAAGTAGGCAAACAGGTCCAACTCTGTTCCAGAAAGAGATTGCTTTCAATGTAAGGAAAATTTCCACCTTCTCAAGCTGTTTCCTTCTACATCAGTACTTACCTAGGCTCAACCTCTCCAGTCACAGACATTAAAGTGCCTCCCCGTGGGTCATTGGGGGCATCTCCTAACAGACCACGAGGAGTTGGGACGTTGGCAGGCAAGGCTCCCCTCTGCATAGCTGCTCTGGGGTCTTGCATTGGCACTGACAAGGAAAGAAACATGGAGTTAGTGCTGTGAAAGACACATAAGGAAACAAGAAATGACTCTATACCACTGACAACGTAATTTGGACACCTTAGAGTGGGTGAAGCCTCACCACAGAAGAATCCTCTTGCAGCTCAAGAACAGAAGCAGGGTGTAGGCAGCATCTGTGCCATGTCAGAGGTATGGATGGAATTATATAAAGAGCAAACAGGGGAGCAACCTGCCAAGGACGAGCATGTGACCTCAAGTAAGTTACAATCCTTGTTTTCCTTCTAATCAATCTTAGTTTAAGGACCAGAGTCACAAAAGAGAGATAGGGTCTTGGCATATGAACACTGCCATAGCTCTGCAAGAACCTGCTGTCTCCTTACAGACTGCTATTCCATCCAAGCCTCCTGACACCAGTAGGGAGGAAGCAGAGCCTCGGACAGATGCTCATATCATCCATGTTCTCTGCCCTGTGTGAAGAGGTCAATCTTAGACTTGTGGCCTCAAGAGAAAAAAAACACAAAAATAACAAAAACAAAAACCCCCAAACACTACCCTTTTGGGGTTCTGAACGTGAGGATGACTGCCAAGCAGCTCTTTTCCTCTCAACATCCCACCCTGAACACCACAAGCAAAAGGAAACCTGCAGATACAATGGGTACCTTGAACTCGCTCAATTGATGCAGGCCCGGCGGGTCCCACGGGCGAGTGCTGTAGGGTTCCTAGGTGAGCAGTAAGTTCAAAAGGAGAAATAGCAGACACTTAAAATAGCTTGAACACACAAAGGAACATACACATATGGAGACTGGAGGTTTACACATGTCAGTAAAAAGCCAAGAGTTTGTTAGTTTGCCCCAGCCTATAAAACTTCCTAAACTACAAGAGGCCTTTGTCTTATCCAACAGTTCCACTTTGACCAAGCATCTTTCTTAAGGGAAACCTATGGGCTGGTTTACTTAGGCAAGAATAACCAGCAATTTTGGACTCTCCTTTCTGTTGCTACAGCATTTTCTTTTATGTCTTCCTGTACATTAAAAAAAAAGAAATAAAATGGAGAAAAATGTATTTTCAGAAGCAAAACATGAAAGAAATTCCAATGAACATGACATGAGATTAATCACAAAGAGACCATAACAGAAGTGAGGCAGTACTAGTTTTGTCTTACTTTAAAGTCTAAAAATTTCTGTCAAAAAATATCAAATGGGTAAATGCAGCTGATGAACTTTAGGTGAGGAAAGAGAATATCACTCTAAATGAAACAGCCTACTACAGCAAGTCTATGATTATAAAAAAAAATGACAAGGATTAATGAGCCGACAAGGGAACCAACATTAAACAACTCAGGAGGTGGGAAAGCGAGAAGCACTGTCTCAAAAATCTGTCACAATTACAAATGTGCACACCAAACAAGGATTCCAGGCAGAGACAAATCTGGTCACAAATGAAAACAGTTTCCTATGCTGGGTACTGAAGGAAATTGCTGAAACTCATCTCACTTTCATCTTTGTGTCAACAGATCCTTGAAATACTTTCAAATTTTGAGTCAATTCCTTTTGGTAATTCTTAGCAGAAAAGATGGGGCTAAACTCCAGTAGGAAGAAAGATGTCTCATCGGCTGAGGGATTCACTGAGACTAACGGCCAAGAAAGAGGGAGAGATGTGACTGATGGAAGCCTAAGCCCTTCTCACTACTGCAGAGATACTTTGGGGTAGATGTCTTGACAGTAATGGGATGGCAGTACACAGCAGCACAGAAGCATGGGATACTTTAGAGGGAAGATGACATGTTTGGCCAGAAGTTTGTCTTATTGCCATTCATCTGATAAGACAAGTTTAGACTCATCATTTCAATCATCAATCACTGTGTACAAACCATGGGCCTGTATCTTAATATTTTGCTTTTGAAATAGATTTCTCTTGTAGGGAATCAGCTAAGAAGAAAAACATTAAGACCCTCTGTTCTTGTCCAAATCAATCTATTCCCAACACAGGAGGAATCTAATGAGTAAGTACAGTATTTTGAAAATTCATTCTGAAATTAGCACTGGCAGTATAGAATAATGGGAAGAGGGCAGATTTTGTTTTATTACTTTCTTTTTGGTTTTTCGAGACAAGGTGTCTTTGTGTAGCCCTGGCTGTCCTTGAACTCACAGAGATCCACCTGCCTCTGCCTCCCGAGTGCTGAGATTAAAGATGTGTGTCACCGCTGCCCAGTGAGGGCAGATTTTAGATTGAGAGATTTTTATTTTTAAGTCAAAAGAGAAGAGCACCAGATTCAGGCCATAATACTCAGATATGAGTATGCACTTACCGCATCCCATTGAGAAACTTAAAACGCCCGTGCTTCCATTTCTTTACCTGTAAAACTGAGGCACTGCCACCCAACTCCCGAGGTTGTCTATGGAAACGGAAGTGATTGAGTATTTACAGTATACATTCAGTTTCCTTTTTTCTATCATCTTGTTTTTAATCAAACTACTGTATTTTCTTTTCCTTCAGACTCCAATAATATGAGAAAAGAATGCAAAGATTCTGGAAGGGCTGCTGCTCTTATAAAGTGTTTTTGCCACAGTACAGGAAATTCTTTGCAACTATGCTTCACAGACCTCTGCTTTGCTCCCAGTTTGCTAAAGGGTTTACATCTTGACATCTACAGACCCAGTCATATACTATATTCTCACTATTAAAACTTATGAAGTCAACAGCTATTCACAGATTGAGAACACGCTAGTGGAGTTGTAAGACTGTCAGGAAACAAAGGATGCATTTGTCACACATCACTGATTCTTATAGAGCTAGGCTCTGAATAGCCCTTATGGAAAGTCTGGACCAATCGACGTTTTACTGACCATAGAAACATTCTACATCTGCAATGTCCAGCGTGGTCTTCATTAGCACGTGTGGCTACTGAGCACTTGGAATGCGATTACTGTTCTCAGGAAATAAGAACATTAGGCATTACTTAATTTGAACTTAATTTTAATTAACTCAATCTTTAAATTGCCACTGGTGGTTAGTGGCTGACACATTAGATAGTGCAGATATGGAACATTTCCATGTTCAGTATATATACAACAGATATTTAACACTTACCTTGTCCTCGTTCCATGGGCACTGGTCCACCTCCTTGCATTCCAACTTGGGCTTGCATGACTCCTAGAAAATAAAGGGGAGGGAAAAAAACATAAACTGAGCCTGTAGAAAAAACAACAACAGTGGCCGAGTTTACAAATGTCATCATTTTTCCCCCACATGGAGAAACCATTGATGGAAGGTGATAACTACCATTCAGCAATGCAGTGAAACAGAAGATGAAGTTTGTCAGTATGTCACACTTCAATGACAAGTGAGTTCAGGAGTATTTCATTTCAATTACCAAAATTGTGGCAGAAAGCCCTTTAATGCAGGAAAACAATGCCTCTTACCCACAAGACTCTTCTCATGGGAGGCATTATCACTCTTAGGGTATTTTATAAATGTGTGGGTATATTATTTAGTTATGACAAAGCTTTTGGGAGGCACAGTTAACCCTGAATGAGATGGTATCAGGAATACTAGGTGGCCTACAAAGTATGAGATAGTCCCACAAAATCAACACTGATCTTGTGTCTGAAAAAAACTTTTAAATGACTCACTGAACATTCATACAAAGGAAAAGTTGCCTGCTGCCATCTCAACCTAGAATCTGAGTCTGTTGTATTTGTGAACACGAAAGTCCTATGTGCTGCTGTTTTTAGTATATAGACATACTGACTTTCCTAGAAATGCAATACTGAGTACATTATGGAGACTGTAATTTGTTTTAAAAGAGTTTTAGTATGATTTTTCACTATTTAGGAAAACCACATCAATAGTCCTTGTGGTATCTGAATTATCAAAGCAAACATCACTGTAACTGTCTAAATTTTTAGTTTTTACATTAATGGGCTAGATGTAAAAACCTATTACATTTTGTTTTCTAACTCTACCTGGACATTTATATATTAATTTTTAATCATAAATTAACTTTCTTTTATTTTCTGTTTCTATTATAATTAGGGCATAATATTAATTTTTTGAAGTCATGTTACAGAGGCTGTATCATCTGTGCACTACATTTCAGGACAGTAAAGCCACTGCAAAATATCTATTATAAAAAGGAGAACCTATGGTCTACACTAACCAGATGGGGTATGATGACTACTATATAAAGAATAATCACGCACCACAAATCCTTGACTGGTCCCTTCCACATAGCAATAATTCTGTTTTCTCCAAAGGAGCAAGATATGCTGTTGAGTGGGGACAAAAGGCAAGCTGATTTGTTTGCAGTTCATGGATACTTCCTTAAAATAGAAAGTACACATCACATTGTCCCTATCTCACTAAACATGCTAAGCACTAAAAACGTTATGGATTAAGTGCCCAGAGAACTGGGTGCTAGCCCAGCTCTTGCTACTAAATAACAATGATTCTGAACAAGTGACTCAATGAAAGTACTATATTCCCAGCTTCCTCATCTGTAAAATGAACAGGTTGTTCCAAATAGGAGTCCCCAGAAGGTGGTCCCCAGTCAGACAAGCCAGATCACTATCAACCAGAAAAATGTGAAAACTGCAAATTCTCAGGTTCTGCACCTCAGATTTATTAAATTATAGTTTGGCAGCAGGGACCATCAATCTGCATTTTATAGGTCCTTCAGGTGATTCTAACACATATTAAAGTTGGAAACCACTGATCTAAATGACCTCAAAGCTTCCTTCTTGTTCCATTCCATTGAATCCAGACCAATTACTAACACAATACAAAGGTTTAGGATCTGAGGAAAAGATAGCAGAAGGCATTATGAGCATAATTTCTCACATAAAGAAATCATCACATAACACCTTTTATTTGTAAAGGCTAAATCCCCAGTGGTGGAACTGGTGGTCAGAATGTAGGAATCTTTCATGTTGTACTACTTTCTTCAAAGATTGAAAACCTTCCTATTTCTGTCAAATATTGTCCTCTTCTTTGAAACTTGACACTGATGGGTGTAAATGGCATTTTATTTTTACTTCATTTGTAGCTCCCAAACTATAAAGGAGGCCGTTTTTGTTGGTCATCTGGTTTTGCTTTTACAAAGCTCTTAAATAGTTTCTTCCTGCACTTTTCTAAAGGTTGTTTTTCCTCTTCTTATCAATTTTCAAAGACTGTAGGATAGCTAAAAAATTCCCAAGAAGTTTTAATGAATTAATAAATACAAATACTATAAGCTCAAAAACATCCCTTGAAAGTTAATTATTTTAATTTTTTTGTTATACTCAGTTTTTGGATTTTGGTTCTTTGGGGGGTGTTTTGATTGGTAAGACTTCTTTGTGCTTGCTGCTGGGGACTGACATGGTAGACAAGTGCTTTACCACTGAGGGGCACTCCCATCTTCATTAATTTCCATTTCTTGCTGTCTTGTGCTTTATTATTTTTCTAATTAATTAGTACCAGTATGGAATTTATTTTTTAGTAACATAGGTATTTAGAATATTCATTTTCTTTTAGGCACCACCTTACTCTTTCTCATACCTATTTGAATGGCATATAAATATATATTACTTTTGTTTTAAATTATACTATTAGAATTTTTATTTTCTCTTTAAATAGCTATAGTATGTTCCTTAATTTTCCAAGTCAAGATTTCTTCCCACTCACCTTTTTTTTGTTGTTTTTTGAGACAGCATTTCTCTGTGTAGTCCTGGCTGTCCTAGATCTCACTCTGTAGACCAGGCTGGCCTTGAACTCACAGAGATCGGCCTGCCTCTGCCTTCCAAGTGCTGGGATTAAAGGTATGTGCCACTACCACACCTCCTACTCACCTTTTAATTATTTATTTCTAATTTTATTGGTTTAAAATCAAACAATGTGATCTATAAAAATCTCTACTGCCTCAAATTTGTTAAATTTAGCTTATGGCTAAGTACGTGGTCTTTTTTTTTTAAAGGTCATTTGGAGAGGGAGTATACTCCACACTTAAGCCAACAGATGTAAGGCTATCTCTAAATATTAAGTGTAGTGGGTAGCCATTCCAGCTTTGATCTGAAGTTCCAACCCCCACTGAGGCTTCGGTAACTGTCACGCCTACAAGGCGGGGCCAAGAGAGGGCCCTGAAGACCCAAGATCTGGATGCACGGGTTCTCTTGGTTCCTGGACCCTGGGCGCTGGAGGCAGACTGAGCAGAGTTCTCCAGAGAACACCGCTGGACTGCGCTATGTCTTTCCCAGACCCTGCAACCTACCTATCCCTTCATTTGTAAGTTACGCCACTAAATAAACCTCCCTTTTAACTACGTGGAGTGGCCTTAATAATTTCACCAATAATTAAGTGGAGCTTGTTGGTCCTATTATCTATTGAATGTGTCTAGCTAATTTTTATTCATTAGGACAAGATTACTCAACATGTCCAGAGAGGGTACTGAACAATAGCCTACATTAGCATTTCATGACAATGTAAGTACAGAATTGGAGAACAGATATTTAGAAATCTTTATGAATTTGACACTGTTGTTACATCCAAGTGTATGTCATACCAGCACTTAAGAGCTCATTTAGCTGGGATTGATGGCATATGCCTCTAATTCTAGCACTTGGGCATCTGAAGTAGGGGGATTTACAAGTTTGAGGCTAGCCCCAGCTACACAGCAAAACATTTTCTTCCAAACAATACAAAACAAAGAAGAAATCATCTAGTTTCCTCAACCTAGAATACATGGTATAGCTACACATCTACTTTACATCAAGATCCTGTTAAATAATTGGCTGCACTTCAGCAGTTGCTACTATAAAACCTCAGCAAAATAACAAAATGGTAAAGACTCTCAACTGATTACCTGCAGGGGCTAAGGAACCAGGGCCAGGACCTGCTACAGCTGCTGTCATTTGCACTGGGGCTGGAACTCCACCTGGCATAGAAGCTTGCATCAGAGGTGCACCATTAACATGCATTCCGCCCTGACCAAGAGAAAGACAAGTGTGAGCATGTCTCTGCAGACTCAAAACATTTAGTCTGTGGCCTTAAGTTTCTCTTAAAATTGGTAGCTCCAATAGTCTGCCAAATAGTGTTCTTGTGTATGTCTTCTATAACATTAGGTTTATCACATACTCTGAATTCCACAGAAGCAAACTGCAGTATGTAACTTGAGCCTGGTTATGTGAATGCAGTTAAGATGGAGCATATGCCTAATGTAGAGACTAGTGTAGGAAATTAAGTCTTATCCATGTGGCAACGCAGCAAGTAAAACCCATTCTTGACTTCACTGATTAGCACCTAACAACAAGAGTTTTAAAAAATGCCTTATACTTGACAAAAAAGGGACTGAGACTTCAAAAAAAAAAGTCCTGCTCGTACTCTACATTTTTATGAAAAAAATTTTCCAAGCTTTAATAACTTCTGTCCTTGGATGTAACTTTCTTGGGGGTATGTGTAAATTTGTAAATTTTTAAATGATACTTTAAACTGCCTGAGAGAAAAGATATGCAATATCATTCCCAAGAGAACTACTCACATCTTTGGAATGTGAATAACTGCAAAGAATAAAGAGCTTTAAAAGAATCAAATATATGAGCACCAAAAAGAAGAAAGTTTGGAGTCTGAGTTCAGTAGTATCCCACTTTCTGCATGTCTCTGCAGTCTGTGTATAGTATAACAGTTTAGTAATAAAGAAGTGAGGAATGAGATTCAGAGTAGAGATGCTGCTCACAGCTGCTGCTTCTTAAACCAACAGCAGTGGTTTTACCTGTTAAAGTCCAAAACACCATGGATCTCAATGGATCATGACTGGTCCACATGTTCAGTCCTGCCTGAACTCATCACTGTGAGTGGTGATGGCAGAGGGGAGTGAAATGTACTAGCACCCTGCTTTCTTCAGATAAAATTCAAGACCTCCAGTGGATATTCAAAGCCTCAGATATGTTTTAACTTGTCTGTATATATCATTGTTTTCCTCCAAGGTTCAATTTAAAGGCTTATAACAATAACTAAAAAATAGAACTACAGCAATACACTGCAATGAAAGTTCTATGAATATTTTAAAAATCACATACAGTTCACTATAATCAAAACTAAACAGAAAAGAGGAAAGTGTACAGTGAGGTGGTTGAAACAGGTCATGAGATTAGACTAGGTTCAGATCCTAGTTTGCCACCTATGGCTCTTTTAGACTGGTTGGATTTTCAGTCTTAATTTTCCATTTCTGCAAAATACTCATCTAGGACAGGGGCTGGAAAACTATTGCTCATTGGCTAAATTCTTTCATCTTTTTTTTTGTTGTTTGTTTTTTGAGACAAAGTCTATGTAGTCTTGACTGTTCTGGAACTTTCTATGTATACCAAGTTGGCCTCAAACTCAGAAATCCAGCTAGCTACCTCTGCCTCTCAAGTGTTAGGATTAATGGCGTGTATCACCAAACTGGCTAAACTCTTTACCAGTCAAAACATTTTTCAAGCCAGGAATAGCGGTGCATGCCTTTAATCCTAGCACTCAGGAGGCAGCGACAGGTGGATCTTTGTGAGTTAAGAGGCCAGACTGGTCTACACAGCGAGTTCTAGGACTGTCCCAGAGCCATATAGTGAGACCTTGTCTAATATATTGTATTTTTTTCTCAAATTTCTTGTGTTCACATATACACCCCAGCATGCATGTGGAGGTCAGAGATCAGAGGTTAACTTGTATAAGTTCTCGTTTTCTATTATGGCTCCTGGGGATTGAACTCAAGATTGCTAAGTGTGGCAATAAGCACCTTTATCTACTGAGCCATCTCGTTATCCATCCATCCATCCATCCATCCATCCATCCATCCATCCACCCATGCATCCATCTATCTATCTAGTATGCATGTGCATATACTATGGAACATTTGAGGACAATTTGCAGGAATACATTTTCTCCTTCCACAATGTGTGTTCCAGTGATTGAACTCAGGTTGTCAATCTTGATAGCAAGCACCCTTATTTACTGAACCATTTTGCAGGCCCCAGCCTTTGTTTTTTTGAGTCAGGGTCTCAAATAGCCCAGAATGGCTTCAATTTTGCTAGGTAGTCAAGGATGACCTTGAACTCTGATCACCTGCTTTCCTTCTAAGTGCTGAGATCATAGGCACTGCCATGCCTGTTTCTATAAGTGGCTTTATAACTAAGGTTTTCCTGGAATACAGTCACATACTTTTACATATTATCTCACATTACAGAGACAATACAGCTTGTAAAGCCAAAGATATTTACTACCTAAGTTTCTGAAGAAAATGTTTACTAATCTTTGCCCATTGGATTCATCCACATTATTTACCTCTACAAATCTAGTAGGTGAAAAATGGTGGCTTATTTTAGTTTATATTTTTAGAATGAATACTTAATTTCAGTTTTGTGAACTGGTTATGCCCATTACTCATTTTGGTTTTTTTAAACTAATTTATGGGCTTTTTGCTTATGAAAATAATATAAACAACATAACCACCTATGTGGCTTTCAATTACACCTCATATTTTTCTACTCCTTAAATAACTACTCAGAATTCTTATATGCATTTAAAATGGTTGTATTTGGGCTGGAAAGATGGTTCAATGTTTATAAACACTTGCTTCTCTTGCAGAGGACTTGGGTTCAGTTCTCAGCACCTATATGGAAGCTCAAAATGGTCTATAACTTTAATTCTAGGAAATCTGAATCCTCTTCTGGCCTCCTTGGACACTGCATGCACATAGTGTACTTACGTATATGCATAAAAACAGATACACATAAAATAAATACACATAATTTTATATATTGAACTATTTTGGCATTTCACTTAACAGTTTGAGAATTTATGCTGATAGAGATACCCATATGGAGAATATTCCCATATTTACTTCATTTTACTTTCTGTACGCCATTATATTTTTTAGTTTTTTGTGTTGATACCACATATTCTTGCCTACCTTACTGCTGTATGGCATTAGGTTTCTGAAAGTCATTCCTATTTATACATGTAGTTTACTGAACTGTTTAAAGTTTTCCATTGGATAGATATACCAAATTTTCTCCACTTTTCATTAATGAACATTTCATATGTTTTTAATATTTGCTATTATCATATGGCAATAGACATCTCTGAGCATGACAAAGTACTCTTTATTTAGAATTGGCCTTTTTGTACATCATAAATCCCTTTTCCCATTTAGTCTTTAGTATTTACTTCCTTTTCTTTACAAAAATGTCAGCCTTTAGATGTATTAAATTTTTATGTCTGTAGGAATACAATCATGCTTTTGAACATATGTTTTTTCCATTGTTACTGCTGAGAAGGAAGACAGAACGCTTGCCTCATTCTGCTGCTATGAAGATTTAAATGAGGTAACATAAAGTATATTGAAGTGATAACCACAGTGGCAGGTATACACACCCACAAAAAATTAGCTTTTTAGAAAAGGGTTCACAGGAAGGACCTCTGTTTTATTAACTTGGAACAGACTCTACATTCTTTCAGGTGGTATGAGCTCTGCAATCTGGAAATTGCTTTTATGCCTAAAAATTTTAATTACCATCTCTGAATCCTGCTGTTTCTTCTCTCAATATTCTCCTGAAAAGAAAATAACATTTTAAGACAGATTAAAAAATGTTGTGGAATAAAACCCTACCAAAGATTGAGCCTGAGGGGCCTGAGGATTCTGCTGGTTCATTGAAACATTGGGTCCTGAGCCAGGCCCAGCAACATGGACTGGCTGAGGGTTGCCTGCAATCAGCGTTGGGATATTTGTCTGGCGATGCAGAATTTTCTAAAAAGTGAAAAGACACATCTATGAGCTGTCTGTTTAACAAGCCAATCGGGCAGTTCCTATCCCACTCCAAGAATACCCTACTATCTCCATACCAGAACCAGAAGAGACTCACCAGGGCAATCTCAGGATCCACAATTCTCATCACTACCTGCGCTTGTAGCAAAGCATAAGCCAGCTGTGGATTCTGAAGCAACATGTTTCGTGCTTCCTGGGGACTATTCTGGACACAGAGCTGAGAAGATAAGAAAATTCACCTTCAGGTTCAATACTAAGAATCTGATAATGGTTTGAGCCATTCTATCTCATAAAGGTAATATTCAAGGTAATCTGAGTTACTACTGACTTTCTTTTTGAGACAGTGCCTTATGTATCCCATTCTGGTTTTGCACTGTGACCCTTCTGCCTCAGCATTCCAAGTGGTGGTACTAAAGGCACGCAACACCATGCCTGGTGATTTAGCACTGATTTTGACACTGAACAAAAAATCTCGGCCATGGCAGGCAAGAAGAGTCATTTATAATATGGTAACATCACTTATGGGCAAAGCTATAATTTAACATCTACAGGGGGCATAGAAACACAGCTGGACTGTTTGGGCAGGTCTGTTGCTGTATAAAAATAGCTTCGTGTATAAAATGTGGACGAAATAGTGTCTATAGACTCAACTACTTAAGCTTAGGGAATTATGCCCATTAACACTTGAAAATCTGATGTAAATGGTTTTGTTTATAATCTAATGCTCCCCCCACCTTCATTTGCTTCATCAGCTCAAACATCTGTTCTGGCGGAAGACTGGCAACTGCTTTGCTAATAGATTCAGGGGCATCCTCGGGGCTGATGGTCTCTCCATAAGGCGACTCAATGACGGGTGCACCAGTGCCAAGGCCTGATTAGGAAGAAAGCACAAGAAAGTCAGGAAGGCAAAAGAACCACCTAAGTCATTTAAAGTGTATTTTCCAGGGCTTCTGTGAGCACCCATCAATAACTGCAAATTCTGGAGCTGGAAAGTAAGCCACCCAAAAACGTCGTTTCAGTGAAGCAAAGTGACAGTGTATCTTCTGTTCTTAGAGGACAGCTGGGCCAGTGATAATGCCATTATTGATTTGACAAATCACTTCAGAAGAGAAGCATTTAAACAGCAAAGATGTTAATTTCACCATAGGATTTGTGGAAACGCCTTTAGGCTTGCTGAACCTGAATTTCCCTTAAACTGGAAACCAACTCCTAAGAAGAGAAGGATTTCTAAAGCCTAGCTGCTTAAACGTACACATCCTTCACTCGGGCACCTGGGGTCGTAAGAAGCTTTTCATCAGCTAACCACCCCAGCATCTTCTAAAGCATAATCGCAAATGAAGAAGTTGCATGGCTTCATCTTCACTAACCTGGAATGTACAGGGCTTGGATTGATACTCACTTTTCAGTTCCTCCTTGTTCTTTTCACTGGCAGCATTATCCACTCGGAGTGCTCGCCCACTGAATTCGCGCCCATTCAGGTTCCGCATGGCACTAAGTGCTGTCTCTTGATCTTGGTATTCACAGAAGCCATAACCCTTTGGTTTTCCTGTTTCCCTATCATATACCAATCTGAAGAGCAAAACCAGGTATCAGGAACAAATGCTACATACACACAGGCTTCCCGCAAACACTGGCATGTTCTCATTTAGCCCACAGTAAGATACCCTTCTAAGCCAGGTGTGGTGATGCAAGCCTTTGGTCCCAGCACTGTGGAGGCAGAGGCAGGCGGATCTCTGTGTGAGGCCAGCCTGGGCTACAGAGTGAGATCCAGGACAGCCAAGGCTGTTACAAAGAGAAACCATGTCTCACAAAAACAAAAACAAAAACAAAAAAAAAGATACCCCTTCTAACTCTGCTTTTGTGTTTTTGAAACAAATCTTTCAGGTAAGTCTGGATATGAATTATAAAGCCTATGTATTTACTTTAAAATCTGTAGTGATTTTTAAGAATCTCTCATTAAGTTCTTAAAAGAGGATCTCACCTGAAACTAACAACAGGCCCAACCTCAGAGAAGATGTCCTTCAGTTGTTCTTCGGTAGCTTCATAAGGAATGTTTCCCACTAAGGAACAGATAACACATTCAAATGCTTCGACGTGAGCACATGAACAGTAGGCTTTCCATCTTTATCAGTAAATATACAACTGACTGGACAGCGTTCACCAAAACCCCGCTTCCACTGTATCTTTTTAGACCTCATAACACAGGCAGAGACTAAATAAAAAAGATGTCTTTCAAACAGCTCTCACATGCATATATGACAAACAGGATGTTTTCCTTAACTTTGATAAAAATGTTTAAGCACTGATATTTAGCCGTACCCCTATAAGTTCGACCAGTGACTACTAAAAATATAAATTAAAGGGGATGGGTTCGTGTCTTTATTTCCATGTATACATACGCCTACGGAGAAATAGCCACGGCTATAGTGGAGGATGTTTAAAAATTATTCTCAACTGTTTTGTCATGTTTCTTTCAAACAGTGCTTCGTGTTCTTTTTGTTTTGAGAATTTTCTTATGTAGCTCTGGCTGGCCCTGTTATGTAGCCTAGGCTGGCCTTGAATTGGAGGCAATTCTACTGCCCCAAAACGTGCTTTGAAAGCAATGCACCTATTTGAGAAATAACTCGTTTAAATCCTAAGAGCTGCTTAGTTTCGCTTCTCTAAAATCTCCCTGGGCTTGATTCATTCATTCATTCATTCATTCGCAACCCACCTCCAGATGCCAGGTGGCCGCTACCACTATGGGTGGATGAAACGTTACAAGTAAAAAGCAAGCGACATTACGCGTTTATGAGAGGGCGGAAAGTGGATATAGGGTCGATGGCTTCAGAATAAAATCTGTATTTTGGGCTAGGAGAAGCAGCACGGAACAGGGACGCTCTGTTTCCACGCACCTTTTCTCCTAAAAAATAACTGAGAATCATGAAGGGGAAAACGCAGGGAAAGCAAACGCTGGAGTCGAGCTCCCTGGACCACACTGCGGAAAACCTCCAATACCGGGGAGCCCAAGTGGGGGTGGGGGGGGTGTTTGCCCACGAGTACACCAGGCTGCCGCGGCCAAGGACAGCAGCGGAACCGCACGCCCGCCCCGACACCCGCTCCGGCTGGGGACCGCAGGGCACGTCCCTCCCTGGCTGGAGGCACCATCGAAATCCTCTCACCGAATACTGAACGCAGAGAACGATCCACCGCAGGGTCTCTAACAGGCAAACCCGCCATGGCTCACCCCCTGAGGTGGCTTCCGGTGCGCCTCAACACACTTCCGTGGGAGAGTGAGTCCCGGGCTGAGCACGCCTCCGTCCGGTGGGAGCCGGAAGCACCTGGACCGAGCCGCCGGGGCTCCGGCTCCCCGCCTCACTTTGCGGGTTCCCGCCTGGCGTTTTGTCCGGGGGAGGGGCAAACAGTCGGCAGGAAGGGCTACAGCCGGAGAAAAGGGGCGTGGCGGCGTGCCGCGGGGCGGGGCTATGCTAATTTGAAGTATTGGCCTCTGCAGCCCTCCTTCTCTGTCTTTTTCGCTGGCGCCCACCCTAGCGTTTATAAGCTGCACTACAGAGGGTTGTGGCGGCTTTAGCCTGGCAACAGGGCAATCATTTGCTAACAGCTCTGGCACTGTCATCTCAGTACTGTCCTACGAGAAATGCGGGGGCCCTCCCCAGTAGCATCCATGCTATTATTTTGTTGAGGCTTAGCTGTACGGAGAGAGAGCTGAGACAGACTGGAGAATGAGAGGACTCGCAAAGTCTGCTGCCAGCATTAATAAGAGAGCCTAGGGATGACAGACTGTGCTCTCTCAGAAAGTCCCTGAGTTCCAGATTCTTATTGCTGGGACAGTGTGGCACTGGACATTAGCACGGAAGCTTTAGAAACAATGGAAAATGCCACTGACTGTGGTTGCGCACACTCCTGGCATAGTGCGGTGGAGGAAATCGAGGGTAGATTATCTTGAGGAAAATAGGATTGAAAGAACAATGAAAGGAGTTCATAGCACTGCCATCTGAGAAAACCTACTATCTGGTAAAGGAAGTACAAAGTAGAAAAATAGGCACAGAATTGGAGGCATGGGCTTAAAATATTAATTCCATGAGCTGGGTATATGGCCCATTGGTAGAGTGCTTGCAAACCATGCATAAGACCCTAGATTAAATCCCCAGAAAAACATACATCCTGTATCAGAAGAGTCTGTGCTTTAAATGTGAGGAATAGAACACACACACGGTGGACAATGTCTCAAGGAATAATTCTGGTAAAGAGAGGAAAGTTTGGGAGTATCACCAATTCATTATACAATCACTATGTGACCTATAGGATACCTTATATAATAGAATTGTTCAAAACTTGATATTTATAGCTCTGTAAAAGGCACATATTCAGAATTTTGGTGTGTCACAGTTCAATATAGTGCATTTTGACTAAATGAATGTATGGCTAAGTAGATTTCTCAGCTAATATTTCAAAATTCATATAGGCAGAAGATTTACTCAGGGTACTTAACTGAGAATAGAGAGAGGTTCTTGGACTTCCACCCAGTCTGTAGGGGGAGAGTTTACACAAGGAACTGGAGAGTCATTTTTCACTGAGTGCCTCTGGTGGATCTCAGGGCTATGCAATTTGGAAAACATTGTAGTTCATGAAGTAGTTTTATGACAACATTTGGTTCGACCATCCATTCTTTTTATCTGCAAATTTTTGTTGAGGAACAGCTGGATAGCTTATAGTAGGCCTAGAAGTTCTTTGCCCGGCTCTCCCCGTTGTGAGAGAGGATGTCTGGAAATGGACAGGAGTGGTTTGGGTTGCTGGATGATCAGTCCAACACTATTGCTGGAAGAAGATCCAGAAACAATAAACATACTGTCACATGCAGAGTTCTACTCAATGAACTCCTCACTCCACCAGATGCCAGTTTTCCTGGAGAAACACTTTAAAGCAGCTGTCCTGGAGAAAACAGGCCCTGGCTCTAACAGCCGTGTTGTGTGTTAGTTGTGCACAGAGCACTTCTACCTTAGCTCTTTCCCAACTATGTAGCTAATCCCAAGAAAAGTTGACATTTGTAGGGACTGGTTCCCTCCTCTACGGCGTCAGTTTTTGTGGAGGCACAGGGGGTCCTGTGCTCACAGATAAGCACTAGGGGAACCAGGAATGTAAAACACACAGTGTTGTCTCTTCAAGGGGAGAGATGTATAACCTGTCTCCTGGCCACAAGGCTGGGAGCAGAGGTGGTCAATAGCCTGGTGACTTCTGCACTGTTTCTGTGGCCGAGACAATGCCGGATCCTCCCCCAGGCCCTTATCATGAGTTTGTTTTTCTCAGTCAATCTATAGAACCTATCTTTGTGGAAGATGTCACATGTACTTTACAGAGAGTTTCAGTGTAGTAATGTCTTAAGCTTTGTTGTGCATACAGGATTGAGTTATTTATCACCAGGAAACCTTTTTTCCAAATTGTGTTGTGCTCAAATATGCCTAAAATAAACTGACCAGTGTCAGACTCTAAGTTTGAACCAACACCAGCTACTGAGTTGTGTTGACCTTTCTTGCCTCCCGTTTATCACTACTCCGCTGCCCATGGTAGTCTCAGAGACCTCCGTAAGTTCTGTTGCTGTACAATATCTTTCCACAGAATTATAGTTTATGACAATGTTAACTTGTTAGTTCACAGTTCTGTGGGTCAGAAGTCTGAATGGAAATGGCAGGATTCTCCATTTAATTTTTCACAAGGATGGAATCAATGTGTTGGGCTTTATGTGTGTTGTCTATGGGACACAACCAGCTTTCAATCTCACTTTATTGTTAGCAAAAAATGTTTCTTTGTGGTCATACACTGTGGTTCTTCTTTTCTTGCTGCCTATTTTCCTGGGGCTGTTAGCTTTAGCTCTTGGGTGCAAAAGCTTCTCTCTGGTCAATGCATGGGGTAACTACATTTCAGAGCCAGCTCTTGTGGGACAAGACCTTTCCTGGGGAGATGCAACACAAATACCCGAGTCACCTGGAAAGAACAGTCAGCTGTTCTGAACTGTGTCCAGGCAGCCTGGCAGGTTTCTGCTTCTTCCAGGCAGTCGGCCTAGCCTCAGGGTCTTTGCAGCCTGGCTCCCCTGAGAGTCTGTTTTGCATTTTGGCTTGTCTGACAGGGACTCAGCAGCATGGCTTGTTTACTCTTGGAGAAGGGGCCTAGAGAATCTGGTCAGTCGCAGGAACTCCTAAAGAGCTTTTGAGTTGTTTAACCTTCCACTTAAGGAGATCATCCGCAGGATGGACTGTTTCAATCTGGGAGGAAAGGGTTACAAAACGCCAGCAATGGCCCCATGAAAACCGGTGCTCCCAGTCTCAATTTTGTGATGGTAACTGGAATATTCTGCTTGTATAGGTTCACCTGGATAATTTCTCTATATTAAGATCAACTATGTTGGGGCTGGAGAAATGATTGAGCAGTTAAGAGTACTTGCTGCTCTTGAAGAGAACCAAGGTTCCATTTTCAGCACCCACATAGCAGCTCAAAGGGGCCTGGAATTCTAAATCTGTGGGATCAAATGCCCTTTTCTGACCTCTGTGGACACCAGGCACACATGTGGTATATAAACTTACACGTAAACAAACACTCATACACACAAAATCTGAATAATTTTTGTAAAAAGATCAACTATGTTGTGCAACTAATTAGAATTATGTAAATAAAAGCCATTATAATCATGTGAGGCCTTCAGAATTAGCAGACAAATACATCAAGAACTGGGGGAAAAAATCTTAGGGTCCACGTTAGACAATTGCCTATCGTGCCCATTTTGAGGACAGTCCTGTTTAAGTAGCCAACTGTAGTTACACATTATGGTAATCCCAGCACTTGGGAGCCTGAGGCATGAAGATTATGGATTCGAGCCTAGCTTGGTCTACACAGTGAGACACTGTCTCAAAAAAATATTTGAGTAACTTGCCTTAGGTCCCACAGTAAGAAGCTGTGGCATGGTTTCTCTGGTGCCAGAGACTGTTTAAATGCTGTTTTTATTCCCTCCTAATATAACTCAGAAAATTTAGATGGCTCAATATGTTTCATTACCATTTTAGGGAAATAATGTAAAGCATATGATCATTTGATGATGAGTAGATGGCTCATAGAAATAAACCACCAAGAAAAGATTGAGGCACTTAGCCAGAATGTGTTCCGCATCTCCAACCATCTGTGGAAAGTATACTGTATGCACTATCACATCAGCAGCTAAACTTACTGTAGTAGTTATACAAGAGGAGCTGTGTGCGAGGGGTACGTCCTAAATGTTTGCTGTTTTATCTTTGGATTTAATGGATAGGCTGCAAACTCGTTACTCACCTCAGTGCCTGCATATTGAGAATCTTCTCATCATTATCACATTTCCTGTGTGACACTTCTTTTGTCATCAGTTTATAGCAAAGTGAAGACACAAAGTGGAGTGTCTGATCCTCGTGTTATGATTGAAGGCTAAATTAGCAATGATATGGGTGTGATATTAAGAAGTAGAAAAAACACTAACAAAGAAGCATTTCTACATCAATAGAAATAAACATATTGGAAGAATGTCACTTGGGGGCTTTAAAAAGATAAAATTACCCCTAATGGAGAATGGAAGAATTTGGGAATTGTGGTGGTTTGAATGAGACTGTTCTCCATAGGCTCCAATGTTTGAACGCTTGGTTCCCACTTCATGGAACTGTTTGGGTAGGTTTGGGAGATGTGGCCTTACTGGAGGAAGTATGTCCCTGGGGACAAGCTTGGAGGTTTCCAAATCCTCATACCATTTCTAGTGTAGAGCATACATTTCTAGTGTGCTCTGCTTCTTGCTTCTGGTTCAAGATGTGAGACTTCTCCTTCTGCTCTCAGCATCCAGTGCCTGCTGCCTGCTATCTCTACACCACCATCATGGATTATAAACCTCTGGACCCATAAGCCTAAATAAACTCTTCCTTCTCTAAGTTACCTTGGTCATGGTGTTTTATTACAACAATAGAAAAGTAACTAATATAGGAACCTGTAATTAAGACTTAAACGACTGAAAATTTTGTAAGAAAATTCTGAGTTCTTAGCCAGTCTTGTAGATGACATCACAAATTTTGGATGGGATATAATTAAATGAAGCAAGCAATATCATTTAAATCTATAAGGGTAAATGGACTTGGATCTTTTCCTGATTATGGAAGTCTAAATTTCCAACACTGATTCATGTTTTAATTTCCTCAAATTCATTAATTTCACACATGAATAAAAAATCACATTCACAGACATTGATTGTAGAAAGTAGACTTAGTGGCTCATGTCTGTAATTCCAACAGTCCATGAGGTAAGGGAAATCCCTTGTTTGTCTTCAGAGAATATATGGAAAGGCAGTATGTAAACAGTTCTAAATGAGACTGACAGTGAGAAAAAAAGTTCAGTGAACAGA